AGATGTCGCTGAAAGTTACACACTGTAGCTTTAAAGAAGGTGGGGGGGCAGGTTGACCTTTTGACCTTTACATTTTCATTAATATCTCCAAATCCAAAGCAGCACAAACGAAAATTTTTGCTGCACAAACGTTTGACACTAATTTAGTCTGATTTGAAGAAGGTGGGGGGGCCAACTTCACTCAGGTGAGGGGAGCAGCTTTAACTGATGCTGCATTATGCCTATGAAATGATGCTTGATACTTGGGCACAAGTTCTGGACTCGTTATAAATACTCTATGCATATGCCCAAAAGTGAAAAAATCCATAGAAAGTTCAGCTTATGCCAGCGTTTTAGGAGATTCTGGGACATGGGGCTTACGCTGTTTAAATTGGCACGCTGTGATAGGGCCCTCAGTCTTTAATCATGATCAGCACATTCCATTTTAGATACCCTTCAGACAGACAGTAATGGGTGCAAAGCTACCGTAGTACAGTCTCTCATAGTTCTGATATCTAATATCCAGACATAGGAGCATATATTACCTGCTTCCCTTAACTTCTCCTAAAAAAAGTTCTACGATCTGCCTCCAAATCTGTTCACCTGGTGGACAAAAAGTGACCGACACATCGCTCTGGAAGGGACATTGTGAAACAGCATCAATAGAGGAGAAGCTGGAAGCACAGACATGGGGAAGGATTGGTTGAACTGGGGTTGAAGCTGGAGAGAAAAAGGCCAGCAGCGATCCTGACCTTTGAAACCCGGTACAGTTCAAAAACACGACTATTAGCTTAACTCGTGACTCTGAATATGTACCTGTGTGTGTGTGCTCTTGTTTTGGTACCAGAGTGAGGGCCATTTCTGCCTTTTAACCATCAAATTAAAGAGAGTTTGTACCAAAGTGAGGACATTACGTTGGTCAGCACTTCCTGTTTTGCTCATTAATTTAGGTTTGATTTTAGCTTACGGTTGGAGCATTATGGAGTGAATTTAGTGCCATTATTGTTGCGACCAAAGAACATGTTTTAGAAATTGAAATAAAAGGAAAAAGCTAGCTAAAAAGATTTACTTTTAAAAAGAGGCTTTAATTTAAAACATGTACAAATAACAAATCTATTTGTTTCAGATGTATTTTTTTATATTTTCAAATTGTTTTATTTAAAGTTTTCAAATTTTATTCTAAAAAAAAAAATCTTCAGAAGTTTTATAATTAAAACAAAACAACAGAACAAATATTTTTAAATTTAATGTTTAACTTTTTTGTATGTTATTGTAAATATTGACTGGATGCCGTTGGATACTTTGCTAAATTGTGTCAGTAAACATTATTTTAATATTTGTGCAACTGATGAAACAGATGCAAAAAGGTTCTGGTTTCCTATAAAATGATGTCTTTGACCCCCCCTTTGCTGTGGGACCCTTCCAGGCCTCCGTTCTTCTGTTAGCCTTTTTACCACTTTGACCTTTTAAAATGGTTTCCTGCCTCACTGCCAACTATCTGACCATTTTTCTGTCTGGTTTAGACTCTCCATGGACGGCGGTGTCGGCATCCTTTCACCAACAGACTCCTTCCTATCATTGCTGACTCTGTGGTGGACATGGTGCTGGGAACAGGTGCTTGGATCAGAGTTCCTTCCAAAAACGAGCGTTAAATCCTGGGATGTCTGCTTTTCAGGGCGTAAAGATTCATTCTCTGCATTTCTTCGTTAGGCGCTGTGAAGGTGACTCCTGCTCATGACTTCGTAGACTTCCATCTGTCTCAGAGGCACTCTCTGCCGCGGCCCTCCGTCATCGGAGGCGATGGGACGATGGAGCCGCTGTGCGGAGCGTGGCTGGAGGTGGGTAGGGAGGAGATACAGATGTCGATAATATCTCAGGTGGAATGTGAGGTTTGACGTCCATCATCTTCCCTCTTTGTTTCTCTCAAGGGCGTGAAGCGGTTCGATGCCAGGCAGCTGGTTGTTGACGCTCTTGTTGAAAAGAAACTTTTCCGAGGGAAGAAGAATCACGCCATGTCTTTACCCATCTGCAGGTAGCAGAAAGATTCTGGGGCTCCGTTTCAGTTGATTATCCATAGTATCAGAATTGCAGTCATGAAGGCTGGTTTTATGTTTTTCAATGTTTCCAATACATGTGATTGATCAGATAACCAGTGGCGGCTGGTGGAGTTGCTCCAGGGTGGGCTAGAACTTTAAAATAGACGTATACCAAAAACCAGTCACACGAGAATCCATCTTGTCCCGCTTCGTACTTTGGAGACTGACCTCTGGAGGTAAATCTGTGTCGCTGGGATTTGAATTAAAAATGCCACTGAAATTTAAATGTTGTATGTTTGTACTTCCTGTTTTAAGTCAACGGTGAGTTTATTCATTTCATTTTTCTGTAGTTGAGTTAGCGTTAGCTTGCATGACCGGCTCCGTCATGCTGGCTTTCCTTCGGTATGAGCGCCGCAAACGTCACGTCACATGACCAAGAAACCGTAACGGGATTGGCTGGATGTTGGACGCCACAATCCATTGCTAATGTCTGTGACCTGAAGTAACCCTTCCCTTTTTACACTGAATTTAGACGCCGAATTTAAGACCGTAAAGTAGAGCCAGTTGAATCTCAGGAGGCTGAAAATAATGAGTTTGAATTTTGAAAGGTTGAATTTTTTTATATGCAGATTTTTTTAACACTGAAAAATAAGTATTGAAAATG